CGCACATTGCCTAGAATGAGTCTGGTGTGTGTGTGAATGGTTGGTGGTGGTGGGAGGGGCCGATGGCACAGACTGGTTGCCTCGTTTCTGTCAGTGTGCCCCAGGGCAGCTGTGGCTACAGTAGTAGTTTGGAATGAAAGCGATAGAACAAATTGTGAAGGACAACACACGGTTTGAATGAATAAAGACTAACGAGACACAGGTGAAACACATGAGGGCGGGGCTGGTCGTCAGGAAACAGGAAGTACAAGATGTTCATGTCAAGTCATCACTAAAGGGCCATAATCTGTTTATACTTATTTAACTGATAACAGTAGTTTAGAGATATTTGGATTTCAAAATGGGTTTTCCAGCCTCTAAATCTTGTTATTGTTTTCACTTCGATGTCCCGCCCTCCACCGTTTCACCAATCAGAAAGTCTGTGATCCGGGCGCTAGAACTCACCGCGTGGAGCTAATCTCACTGGTAAAGTACCATGTGGCGCAGAACTAAAAAAGGTTATGATTCTCAAATCATTAACGACAAAACAAGGAATAAAACCGGGATTTCTATCTTTGTGAAAAAGGTGTTGGTTATAGATTTGTTGTTGACAAAACTCTTGTCTATTCAGCTGTTATGGTCCCAGCTGGATTCGTCTGCATATCTGGCAACCTGAGTCAGGGAGAGTGGGAGAGGCTGCAGTACCACTTTTGGCCACATTTGTATATACTTCTCCTTTAATAATAATATTTTTCCAGTGTCATAAAAATATTTCCTAAAACCTACGGGTCTTTCTGTTTACAGTGTTGTTGCATTGGGGTTGTTTTAATGCTCTATGTTGGGTTTGAGTGGTTTAAATAGAGGCCTCAGATATGACGATGAAAAATATTCTGGCCCCGTGCACATCCATAAACCGAGATCCGTGGCAAGAACCAAAACCCGCACATAAACAGGGCTATACCAGGACCATGACTAACCCAAGTAACTATTATTTACCAGAGCCACCGTAGTAGGCAAATTTCCCAAAAAAGTGCAGCAACAGTCAGTACAGATCAACGGTTTTAGATCATTTTCAGACAAACAAAGTCATGTTGAGATATTAGTCTGTAAAATGCACTATAATATAAATAATTACATACTTATAATCACTGTCACAATAACAACCAGACCTCAGCCAAAAAGACATTAACTCATTCAGTTTTTTTTCTTTCAAATCTCCCAAAATATCAAATTATAATCTGTTTACCATAACTCCATCTGAAGCAGAACTGTGCCAGATCTTGAACCGTATCAGTAAATGTTTCTTTAAAAGCACTTCTGTTTGGAGAAATGCAAACACAACCAGTTATTTCAGTCCAGTGGATTCTGGAGTTCAAGTCTCACAGCTTAAAAAAAAAAAAGCTTTTTTTCCCCCCTTGTTCTTTTTGTTCTCAGGCCTCTCTGGGGACTTTCTCTGACTTCCTGCCGTTAAAGAGACAGCACACTGCAGAAGTGACACACAACTACCACCTCTGTAGTTAAATCAACAGGGAATGACGATGATAATGATGATATTGGGAAATCTATAAAGCGGCTCGTGTAAAACTTATTCCTACAAAGAATGTTCCAGAGAAGGGTTTTCTGGAATCATTCTATATTTGGAAGCTGTTCAATGATTCCAGAAAACACCCTTTGGAAGATGTTGGTGTTGAAATAATACCAACAAAATCTGGTTTCTTCCAAGAATGGGCACAAATCAAACTGATGTTAGATTTGGAGATACGTTGAGTTCAATACTCTACATGTTGTTTATCCATATACAGTATTTGCAGCTTTTTTCCCCTTTTGTCGTTGTTAAAAATTACATTCAAGTAAAAAACAAATCATCCCAAAACTTGCTGTTTTGTCAAACTATAATATAAAGTTATAATTTGGATCCCTGTGAGTCACTATCTGACGCTTTGGGCTGAGAGCTGATTGGCTGAGTGAGGGCGGATCTCTCTTTGTCACTTTATTTGAGAAATCTCATGAGAAGCTGTAGCCTGGTCTTATCCATCCGTACACTCCGCTCAATCATCATTTCACTGCATGTAACGTCTGGGTCTGGTCCCAGGGTTAGCGAATACAATCGGTTGAATTTTGACCGACCAATCAGAGAGCGCGGGAGGAGAGTGTTGTATTTAGATGTGGGTGACGTCAAGAGTTTGCGTCGAACGGGAAGGTTGTAGTTTGGCGAAGAATGTGATAGTAAAGTATTCTGTTCTGGTTCTATCAAGAAATTGAAGCCGGAGCAAGAGGAAGGTTTAGCAAATGTTGCTGTTGATTCTCTGATCTGTGTTGGTGATTTCAATGGTTTTGTTAAGTCTCTGAGATGATGCTGTTGTGATTCAGGGCTATACAAGAATAAATTGAATTGTACTATAATAGTATTTATACAGCGCCTTTCACAGACTCGAAAGTGCAATATCACAAAGCGCTTTACAATTGTGGGCATTTGTCTCTCACTCTCACACAGAGAGCGGGGTCTCCACTGCAGCGGCACATGCCAGACCTATTGTACATGTTTTTAGTGGACATTAGTAGAACATGCAAACTCCACTCAGAAAAGCCCTGTTACGACCGAGATTCAAACCCAGGACCTTCACTCAGCCACCGTGCCAAGAAATTGGATTGGAGGTATTCCCAATGTGGTTAGCCGAAAGTTGGGTACCTCACCTTTAAGGAATGATAGACTATTCTAAAGAACGATCCAGTTTTGGGCCAAAGTGAAAAGCTCAAAGCATGATAGGTGTCCTTGATATTGCCAGCCTCGTGTGAAGACATGAGAATAATCCTTGGCCGAGATTTCTCACAGTACACAATGTCCGGTGGGGTAAAAGTCTGGGGTTACATAACAACAGTGAAGAATTATCATCAACATTTTCATATTTTTTGGCGGCTGATTCTGAAGACAAACACAGAAAGGTACGGTACAATCCAAGAGCTCTTTTCACCAAATTGTCATCTTCGAGTCTTGTCTGAAAACCACAGCGTATTAGCGGTAACACAAGACACTTTTGAGATTGCGTTTTAACATGAAACACCTGCTTTTGACTCTGAAGGGAAATTATATCAGGAGCAGCAGCGGTGCCCGGTCGAAACCAGCAATACATGTGATTGATAACATGTAGTAATAGCCATGAGTACAAAAGAAAAAATGAAATCGAGCAGATTCTGTTAATTCCCCTGAAAAACATATTACTAATGCAGACGTAATAATTAATAACTAATTATTATAATTTTAACTTAAATCTTTTCCTTTGCATTATAATTGTTGCCTTGTTGTGTTTTTTAATTATGATTTTTTTTTGGCCAATGGAATTCCAAAAGCAAAATCTCAAAAATAAAGTGTATAAAAACTCACCGACACATTGTCTGCGTTAGAACATTTTTCATGTTATGTAAGAAGAGATTAGAAGGAGTTATGCGAGTCTGATGCTTTGGGCTAAAAACAAGACACATGAATTAAGAGATGACTAGAATGAACAAGACTGCCATCTAGCGGTAGAAGTGGGGAATTACATCATGCAGGATTGGGATTCGGGCCTGAATACAACATGGCGTGGTCTAATCAGAGGCACTTGGATGTGAAGGAGAACCATTGATCAGAGATTTACCCAAAACTGCTTTGGAAGAAAGAGAAACAGCTACGTCCGTAAGTCATAGAAGATTCATCACAGCTTGACGATATTGAAAAAGGAGCCAAAAATGCTTTGCAAAGAGAAGAAAGAAGGGAAAAGAAAGAGGGAGACCACAATTTAGCATGAGATAACATCAGACAATGGACAGGAGTGAGCCACGATGATGCACAGATAAAAGGGGGATTCTATGGGATTCTGTGAGCTCGTTTAGATCCCGGCTCGGATGCAAGTCTGAGAGAAAAGCCATGTGAAAAACTGGTGACAAATCGCTGTGTATAAAAGTGCCAAGTAAAAAGATTATTCCCAGAAAGCAACCACTTTAGCCTGGACACCGTTCCAAAAACTACAAATTGTGCAACAAAGCGAGAGAAAGTGTTGAACCTCGCTCAGAAAAAAGCCGCTGTAGTTTAGTCAAATTGGAAATAAATAGACCTGTAAAAACCGCACAACCCACGCACACACATCTCAATAAATACCACTTCAAAAGCAGCGTGAAGATCTCAGGCATAAACCTCTCTCAGCAAACCGGATAATGGCAATTACAGTCTCTGGATTATGGAGTTTAAGTAAGGCTGGAGAAGTCGGTTGAAAAACAAGCACATATTTCTGCAGTGAAGAGAAAACCTATAAAACTGACTTTGCACCTTGAATGGCCTTTCAAGGGATTCATAAAGTTTTCTGATCTTGCGATTCTCAAGTGTTCAAGATGTTTAGGGCACATCAGTTTTCTTCTTCCCACTCCTTTAAGAACCAAACTTTTATGTGTTGACAATTCAATTATATGCATTTTTGGCAATTAATGACAGGAGTAGTTATCTTGGAGGACTTTACACAACCGTTGAAATCGCCAACACAACAGAAAACCCATTGGTATTGGTCATTTGGGGGCAGATGACCCATGTCTATAAATGTTGAATGTTGAGTCTCATGGATATTCTGTTTTTCATTCTGTATAATTGATGCCCAAGTTTGTGGGTAAAGTGCTTTCTCTGCTATGCTATATGCTAAATGCTATATTTTTGTAAAGCTCAAAATAAAGTAATAAATTTCAAAAGTTCAGGAGATCTGTGGGAATCCCTTGTCCCTCGCAGAATTGAATTGATACTTGGATTGAATTTATTTTTCTGACGTGAAGATACAGAACATGCCACAACATTACAGTGTATATTTCTGAAGAGTGGATTCTCTTCTAAATCGTGACGGGAAAAGAACCCAGTCTGGACCTCAGCTGTGATATTTCATCCACACCAACAAACAAACTCTAGTCCACACTAACTTCCAAAAATCCCCAAACTAAAAATGAACCAAATTTTCTAATCTCTACGCCACTTAATTGGATAAAAATGGACATTGTTCTCTTACCTTTTGCAGCCACTGAGTATAGTTGGCCATAATGTGTTCGAGCTGTTGGATCTTCTGATTGGGAAACTCCGGCTCTGGTGGAGGGGCGTCCCTTTGGAGAGAGTTGGTGTTGTACTGCGGACTACTGCTACTACTACTACTACTACTGCTACTGCTACTGCTTGATTTCGTATCCCGACACGATCCTTCAGTTTCTGGTAAAATAAAGGTATAAGTACACTGTCCATGTTGAATCTTATGCAAACGTCTACTACTGTAATTACTGCTACTACTGCTACTGCTACTGCTTCCACCTGTGCTGGTTGCTGTGCTGTCCGCCCCTCTCCGCTGGTCCCCTCCCGTGCAGCCAGTAACCACCAAGAGTGCTGCAAGTGAGAGCAAGTTGCAGCTCAATCTGTCCCACAACATTTCAGCAAGAAGTTTGACTTGTCTGCACAATCGTAAGTCTTGAAATGTCTTGATTATTTGCCGCCTGAGAGAATGTTCCTCGCAAAAAACAAAAAAATGATCAGGGAACTGCAAAGAAATTCATTGCTTTAGAGATGTCCATCTTTAGAAGCATACTCCAAACACTTCCAGCCATTTGTAAGGACCTCGCGTGTCTCTCCAGCAAAGAGAATAAACTTGATGTCTGTGATAAAAAGAAATGCAAAGTTTCTCGATCAGGCTGAGTAAATCCCAGCCTCAAATGTCATTCTTGCGTCGGCTGTAGCTCGCCTGCCTGCTGCGCTGGCTGTGTCGTCAGACCTCCCCTGGTTTCTCGTCCGCTTTGAGTTAACGACTGGAGAGAGTGAAAGAGGGAGAGATAGTGAGTCCAGCAGCAGCAGCAGCAGCAGTGGCGGCACATTGAAAGCCTGCCCCTCACAGAGAAGCGGAGGAATGTGTGTGTGCGTGTGTGTGTGAGAGAAACAAGTTTGTGTGTTGCAGACCCCAGCCCTGCGGAGTCCGAGGATCGCCTTTCAAAACCCCATGTGCCCGACCTGCTGTTCTGCTGTCACTGGGCTCAAGGAAAGTGTCTGGATAATTGATGTGGCTCTTCCACTTCTCGCTGCGCCACAGTGCGTTGGCAGGTGCAGACCAACAGACGGGGATATTGGAGATGGCTTTTGTTACAGAGAACAGTGTGAAATGTATTTATTAGACTTTTTTTTCCGCTTTAACCACATTTGAACTGAGACCTTTTTCTTTCTTCTGCAGACAGTCACAAGACTCAAGATTTGCCATGTTATTTAAATCTATACTTGCAAAAAAAACACATTACGGTCGGGAAGCTACTTGACATTTCCCCAAGCCCTAGCCAGAAGTAAAGTAAACCCATTATACATAATAATATATAATGTTTTCTTTGTAGACAATTGGGATTATTCTTTTATACTTTCAGTCAGTGATGTTGCATGACTAAACTAAGGAGGCCCCAAAAAAACTTAAGGCGGAATTTAAGAAGAAACTTTCACATCACCTTGATCACCTTTGGGTTTTTTTAAATGCAGAATAATTGAAATCACTTCATATATTTCCAGCTCTACTCTAATCACTTGAAATACCATTCTGTTTCTATAATCTGTGGGACATTTGAATGCGGTGAACCAAGGATTATCATCAAATGTAAATGATTCTAAATTAGAGAAAGTATGAACAATTGTAATCGCACCTTAACTCCTCCTGGGTTTTTGCTCTCGTAAAGTTTCATTAATGTGGCTTGACTTGACTCCATTTTCATCCTACTTACCTCATAAAAGTCGCATGTTACTTTCCCGTTGACTGCACTTTAGGTGATGCACGGGTCATGGTTTGTTCCGACCCACGTCATGGTCAAATAAAACCTGAAATGTGTCTAAATAATGGACCCAACCCTTAATACGCTTTTCCCTCCACTACGACATCATACTTTATATCAAATTTCATTACCTTGTTTCTGGCTGAACCACAGAGTCTGACAACACTGGTATATAAAAACAAAATGGTGTGCCGAATTTCCACTTTTCTTGCTTCTCTTGTGGTCATAATCAGACAACGATATTCATCCAAAGGCAGAGGGCACCAACTCAGAACTCACTGATTCATTTTCTTATCATCTGTATCCTGTATTTCTGCGTCTTGTGCAGCGCTGGAACAGAAATGTCAAACCTGAAGTGACCAAAATGTCCTCTGTGTCTTCAAATAGATAGATTTTTATCCATAGAACAGTGTGTATGTGTGTGGTTCCAGCTCAATCAAACTGTAAAACACATTTACCAAATGTTGTTCATGAACCTGAATATAAGTGTCATCAAAGAACACGTAGTTTCAGTAGAAGTATCGAGATAAACTATAAAGCCTCTGTAATATGACATGTCTCATCCCTGGTGGTTATATGTCACACTAGGATCCCAGAATCACAAAACTAAAATTACTCCCAGAGACGCTTTTTGGCTGCTGGCTGCTCCCATTAAAACCAATAGAATTCTAAGAAATGTCCCCAAATTCCACCACTTTTATAAAATTAATTTGGGATTACCTTTACTCAAATTTAGTAAGTGCTAAAACCGGTTGATAGAATTGATATCCGGCAAAAACAGAAAGGCGACCAAATGCTAAATCCTGCGAGTAAATGGTGTGTTGCGACAGTAACAAGCACTTGCTTTTCTCTGGCGGAAAAACCAAACTGACTCAGGTCCAGTCCAGAACCAGGATCACGGAGAAAACAGGCTTTAACGGCCGTAAAAAGTTGGAGCAAATGGACGTACAATTGTTATTTGGGTAGCACTCACACAAACAAATCTGATTTATTAATTGATTTAAAGTACATTAGACATTAGTACAGAAGTTGTCACAAACTTAAGAATACTCTGAGTAATTGCTCTTCTGAAAGATTCTCTGAGCGTTCCAGTGGTAACATAAGAGAGATTTTGTTTTACCTGCACTGATAAACCTTGCACCTTCACCTCTCATCGATACTTTTGCCGACGCGGTGATTTTCTCGGCCCATGAAGTCATCCCAAAATATTCCATCCAACTGATTCACTTCATCTCCACTTGCAGCGTTCTCCTGAGCAGAATGATGTTTTCAATTAGAGCCGCGCTAACATAAACTACATGCTACTTTGTGTCTCATTTCCACTCTATCCATCTCCATTAAAATCTGCTCCACTCGCTGTTGTTATGTTCTCAACAAAATACAAGAGGACTCCAAGAGTGAGATGATTTCTGTGGAATGTTTCTTTATTATAAGAGCCCAAAGACGGCACAGCGTTGAAAGATTCGGGTTCAGAAGTCAGGTCCTTGTTATGGGCAGAGTCTTCCATGTGTCCGAACCAGCCCGACACAGCTGTCTGCGAACTGGAAGAGTTACAGAAGTTCAGTTTTTTCAACATACAACGTGCAAATTTGTGTGACAGGGCAGATCCGTGTTTGTGCTGGTCAAATCTGCAGTAATGTGAGGGAGCAACTGGTTGACAACTGTTATTCTATAGCCCTTGGTCATGAAGAGGCCTCCCCATTTCTGATGCTTTTACAGTGGGAGCGGATACCTCCCTCAATACAAGCCTCCCGAGGTTTCTCACAGTTCTTTCAATTAGTTTTTCCTTTTCCGATGCAGGAGGGTCTGGATACAGTGGTGATGATCCATAGCATTTGACACTTATTGACATTGGTTATCTGCCCCTTACGGACCAATGGCACTATGTGTTAAAGTGTTGGCAGGTCCCGGCTCCAAAAGGTCCATGAGCGCTGACATGCTGCAATCTCCCTCCTTGCTGCTGGGGGTGTACATTTTCATTGCATTTTCTGAGTTTGAACTGTTTTATTCATGTTGTAGATGGAGCAGGAAGACAAAGTCAATCTATGTCCTCACTCTCACCAAGGATCATGAGCTTGAAGACTAACGACCAAAGTCAAGATTGCAGATACAAGCAGCAAGATTAGTTTCCTCCGCAGTAGGTGGGTGAATTTGGTGCTTGGAATAGAGCCACTGCCCCTTCACGTTGCGAGGATCCAGTTGAGGTAGCTCAGGCATCTGTTTTGGATATGTCCCTCACGCCTCTCTGGGGACTGAGGGGGTTGTCCAGGCATGGCCAAAGGAAGACCCAGGACACATTAGAAGGACTCTCTCAGCTGGCCTGGGAACAAGTGGGATTCCCCCGGATGAGCTGTAGAAAGTGTGTGTGGTGAGGGAAGTCTGGGCATCTCTGCTCCGACTGCTGCCCCTGTGACCCGGTGTTCTGTTGAGCTGGTCTGCCCGTCGAGATGATCTGCCTCAGCTGTTAATGATGTAATGCAAACCTGCGCTTCATGGCCGAGGCAATCCAAGATGGCGGACATGTAACTTTAATGCAATTTGAGGCGAGATGTTGATGTTCTGTGTTGTGATATGTGGGTTTTAAGAGTGAGAGTTCCGTGTAAAGTTTGTTTTAAGCAGTCCACTGCTCCTGTGAAACTACACTGCTGCTGTGCCCAAATCTGACTTGCGCATGTGCAGAAACCCGCCAGAATGGGGAAAAAACTCGATCTAATTAAATATTTTGTTTGAACACACTATTGTTAATCATATTGAATACAGTATGATACATGCATTAAATTGAATTTATTATTTCCATTATCAACCCGACAGACCAGTCACAGGATACGTCATAGGCCTACGTCAATAAAATGATGTATGCAGCAGTCAACTCAGGGACTGCTATCACACAGCAGCAGTGTAGTTTCACAGGAGCAGTGGACTGCTTAAAACAAACTTTACACAAAACACACATATCACAACGCGGAACATCAACATATCGCCTCAAATTGCATTAAAAGTGACATTTGAGTCTTAATTTGTTCGTATTTAACTTTAAAAGCAATTCGCGGACTTCATGTCCGCCATCTTGGATTGCTTTCGCTGCGGTGAGACGCGCAGCGCAGGTTTGCATTACATCATTATCAGCTGAGGCAGAACAACTCGACAGAACACCGGGAACGGATAGAGCAGAAGAAGACTGATGGATCACTAATAGGCACATCCAAGTATATGGGAGAATTTTGTGTCTGGAAAGAGATATTTATGTTTCTGATCAATAGCTGTTGTCATTGATCTTGTTTTAAATTCCATCCATCCATCTTCTTCCCCTCAATCCATTTCTGGGTCGGGGGTGGCAGTCAAAGCTGCACCCAATTCACAGAGGTGGCGGCACGGTGGCTGAGTGGATAGCACTCTCGCCTCTCAGCAAGAAGGTCCTGGGTTCGAATCCCGGTTGGACCAGGGCCTTTCTGAGTGGAGTTTGCATGTTCTCCCCGTGTCTGCGTAGGTTTCCTCCGGGTGCTCCGGTTTCCCCTACCACTAAAAATATGTACAATAGGTCTGGCATGCGCTTCCTGTACTGGCAACTCCACTCCCAAAAAATAACAATTGTAAACCGCTTTGAGACTCTGATGTGCAGTGAAAAGGCGGTATATAAATAAAGATTACTTACTTACTTACTTACACAGAGCACCAGCTGGTTTTAAATTATTTGTTTTATTTGGTCTACGAGATCTTAATGTTTTACTATATTGATTCAAAAAGGTTCATTTTGTCTTGAGTTAAAATGCTTTTTTTAGTTCTTTTGAAAGACAATTTTAGACGTATTACATGTTTCGGCTGCAGAGCTGCGGGCCATCTTCAGAACTGTCACCTGCCTTGGTGACGTGTCATTTATCAGCTGATGTTACTTCCTGAGAAGGCGTGGTCAGTCTATTGACCTGGCAGGTCGCCCGGACGCCCCCACGCCCGGTGGCCATGGAGGAGAGTGTCCCATATGTCAGCTGATAAATGACACGACACCAAGGCAGGTGAAACATGCCGAAACATGTTAACAAGGTAATACATCTAAACTTGTCTTTCAAAAGAACTAAAAAAGTGTTTTGCTATTTTGTCTTTGAAAATCAATATATAAAAAAACAAAAAACAAATGACCAATAAGGTTTCCTCTTAGAGTTAGCTTTACTAACATAGCAAGCTCCTGATTGGCTATCAAGACATGTTTATCAGTATATTTTATCAGTAATTTAGGTTAAAGTTTATCTTATCTTATCTTGTAGCACAATTCATTCACATTCTAAAAGTGCTTCATAAAAAAATTGCAAAAGCCTTAAAATCCACACATAACATACATTTAAACGAGAAACTGTGCGGTACATTTGATATTCCAGTTCAGGACACAGATGCCCTCAGACATCGCAGGCTTCAAACACAGTTGTTGATGTACAATGCTGTATATAATCATTTAGGCAACAGTCTGAGTGAAATTCTGTTAAGTGAAATTGACAGAAAGCCCAAATTCAAAACAGCAGGTCATAAAATTGTCCAGACGCTGCAGTGGTCCTATTTGGGTTTGCCATTTTACATGTTTTGGCTCCAAATATGGCCACAGTGAACCATGTGTGTGGGTTGGCTTGTTCTGCCATCTCGCTTCTAATAAATCTCCACCAATCCCCAAATGGGCTGTTGGGCTGTGTGAGCTCAGTGATAAAAGGGGACGACCAAAAACCCAGACCAAAGTGAGCAAAGAATCAAGCCGAGAGAGCAGAGAGTCAGTGTAGGCCAACCAAGATAAGGAGTCGAATACACTCTGAATTTAATCCTGATTGTATAAATGCCCCAAAATCCCACAAAAACAAGTTGTGTGTGAAAGTATTTGGGGCAATCCTCAGAGACAATAAAATTTATAAGCATGAGTAGAGGCTCGTTTAGTTTTAAAACGCAATCAGCAAAACATTACCAAACTTCCACTACTACGCAGTAAAACGTGGATGTAGTGATTACGGTGTCATATAAAAGTCTGCGGCTGTGAACGACTCAGACCGACTCCAAACCTTCGCAGTGATGAGGAAACACGAGCCAAGTTTCCATCGGTTTGAAAGAGTATGCAAAACAAAACAGGCTTTGATGACCACTTAACCATGCGGTACTTGTTTTTAATGCATTTAGCGTTAGCATATGAGGGTTAAAGGACACTGTCAAGGTTCTGGGATTGGACCCAAAGAAGAAGAAGAACTAGAGGCAGGTGAATACCAAAAAAAAGACAGATTATTCTCATTATATCCCGTGGTTTCGTCTGGACGGACGAGGAGGTGGAATTGCTCCTCCGTGTAACGCTGGAGTACAAGACGACTAAGTGCCAGGAGAACGTCGACTGGGAGTCTCGCCAGTCTAAATACAAAGACATATACGAGGACTTTGTAAGACAATATCCCCAAGGCAGACAAGACGAGTTCCCCCACAGCAACGGGGAGATCACGTCCAAGGCACAAATCACGTCCAAATTGAAGGCTGTTCGGACGAAGTACAGAAAAGCGGTGGACACGGGAAAGCGAAGTGGCCAAGGACGTGTTGTGTTCATATTCTTCGAGCTGTGTCAACAAGTTTGGGGAGGGTCACCGGCCACTGAGACCATCGCAGGCGGGCTGGAGACGGCGGATTGCGAAGATGATGATCCCGCCATTACCCGTAGCTCAACCCCTCTCTCCGAAAGCCAAGAAAATGTGGAGAATGAAAATAGCGGTTCGTCTTCTGGGGTGGTCAACTCGAGACGAAATATGCTCCAAGTAAGTACTTGCAGTTCATTGGGTTGGACTAGTGTGTAATAAAGTGCTCATTAATTCGTTATGACTAATTCTATTGCTCTATAATATAATATACACACTAATATATGTATGTAATGTGTATATATATTTAGTGTGTGTGTGTACATATATATATATATATATGTGTATGTGTGTATATATATATATGTATGTATGTATGTATGTATGTGTATATATATATATATATATATATATATAGTGGAGGAGTTCAAGTATCTCGGGGTCTTGTTCACGAGTGAGGGGAGGATGGAGCGTGAGATTGACAGGCGGATCGGTGCAGCGTGCGCAGTGATGCGGTCGCTGTATCGGACCGTTGTGGTAAAGAGGGAGCTGAGCCGAAAGGCAAAGCTCTCAATTTACCGGTCAATCTTCGTTCCCTCCCTCACCTATGGTCATGAGCTTTGGGTAATGACCGAAAGAACGAGATCGCGGATACAAGCGGTCGAAATGAGCTTCCTCCGCAGAGTGGCTGGGCGCTCCCTTAGAGATAGGGTGAGGAGCTCAGTCACACGGGAGGAGCTCAGAGTAGAGCCGCTACTTCTCCACGTCGAGAGGAACCAGTTGAGGTGGCTCGGGCATCTGTTCCGGATGCCTCCTGGACGCCTCCCTGGGGAGGTGTTCCGGGCACGTCCCACCGGGAGGAGGCCCCGCGGAAGACCTAGGACACGCTGGAGAGACTATGTCTCTCAGCTGGCCTGGGAACGCCTTGGGGTCCCCCCGGACGAGCTGGAGGAAGTGTGTGTGGATAGGGAAGTCTGGGCGTCTCTGCTTAGACTGCTGCCCCCGCGACCCGGCAACGGATAAAGCGGAAGAAAATGGATGGATGGATATATATATATATATATATATATATATATATATATATATATATATATATATATGTGTGTGTGTGTGTGGCAGCCCTTTTGTCGACCCTCATGCATGCGGAATGTTATGTACTGTATGTATGCTGATGTTCATATATGTTTTGTCCCATTAACAGGCGAAGCTGGATGGTCACAGGAGAGAGAAGTTGAAGAGAAAACTGCACTCTGATTCGTTTGTGGAAGAGGACCTCCATATCAAACGGAGAATGTTGGACTTGGCCGAGGAGGCAGAGATGAACAGTAAATGCAAATGGCTGAGCTAACAAGCGAGATGAGGAAGTTACATGGCTCCATTTCTGAAGGGTTGTCAATATTGAGACAGTTAACCCCACAGTCGCAGTTCAACTCGCCATATCCTCATGGACAACTTGCCTATGCAGATGTGCACAGACTGCCCAGTGGGTTCAGTCCTCATGGCTTCTCCACACCTGGCCCTATGCACCATCCCTCTGCAGTTTCCACCCCTAGACTCTCACCTTCCTTCCACAATCCACAACAGGGACAAGGACCGTCGTATCGGCGCATGCTGATGCGCGAGGACACAATTGAGGAGCAGGACTTCACTTATTAGGATTTCTCTTTTCTGCGTCTCGCCTGAAAGTGCTTATCATGCACCCTACACTTTATGTAGCAGTTATTGCACTTTTTTAATTCTTGCACAAGTTTGTATTAATACTACCTCTGCCTTTAAATTGTGTGTTGTGTGTGTGTGTAAAAAATAAAAGATTTTTCAGAAAAGCATAATTGCACATGTTTTTATTCAAATGTTTGCTATTCACAGGCACAATACAAAAAACAAATGTTTTCAAATGTAATAAAAGCACAGGGCAAAGGCTTTCTGCTTTATGGGTTAAGATATTTTGAAACAACCCTTCTGACTCTCTTTCCACCACTTTCATTACAATCAGGTATGTAGTTGTTTGCATGCTCTGGTGGCTGACATTGTTGGTCAGCCTGTACAGTCTCCAACACGAGGCCCTCGGACACAGGTTCTTTTCTAGATTCACAGTAATTGTGCAACACAAAACATGCATAAATCACATGGGGCAAATAGAGCAGGTTGATGTCCATAGGTCGCCTCAGACACGCAAATCTCGCCTTCAATCTTCCGAACGAGCATTCTATGACCATTCGAGCACGACACAGAGTTAATCCAAAGTATTGTTCTTGTACAGTGGAACCGCCATTTGTATACTCCTTCATCAGGTACGGAAGGAGAGGGTATGCTGGGTCACCCAGAAGAAAAATGGGTATAGCATCCTCGTCATCGATGATTTGCTTAGGCAGTGAGGGAATCTTGCCAGTCTTTAAGAATTTGTTGATTTTAGAATTTGCAAAAATCCGTGCGTCGTGAACGCTGCCAGGCCACTTGATGACTACATCCATGAATCTGTATTTGTAGTCACACACAACTTGGATGTTGAGAGAGTGCTTTCCTTTTCGGTTTAGGTAGTCCATTGAATTGTGTGATGGCCGTCTGATTTCCACGTGTGTGCCATCGACGGCCCCCAAGCATTGGGGCATACCGTGTGCTTGGAGGAATCCAGACACAAGTGTCTCAGCCTCAGGTGCGGTGAAAGGCAGGCAAATATACTTTTTCCCGAGATTTGTGGTGCATGCTTTACACGTCCGCCGCACAATCAACGACACAGTCCAACACAAATGCATTCGCAGTCTTCCTCAGTCTGCCTTCATCCCCAAGGTAGTACAGTGTACAAGCCACCTTTTTTAGGACTCCTACCGGTGCTCTCATATTCGTCCATCTCCCTTCGATGTACGGACAAAGTTCTTCAGAAAGAGCCACCACAGACTCTCTTGACATGCGAAAGTTCTCTTTCCAGGCCTGGGCATCGACAAGGCCATTCTCAAAGTTGTCCCACCAGCGACTCGTTCTTCCTAGTCTTAACTAAATGCTACGTATAATCGTCCTGCGCGTGGGTAAAGGTTGGAGTATCTCCCGCAAATACTCAATGCTCTTTCGGCGGCAATATAAACGACGTATTATGTGAAGGTTATGTTGTACGAGACTAAACAACATGAATAGCTGCCGGAGCACAAGCACCGCACGTTGATCCGCCATTGTTGTTATGGTATGTTATGGTTTATCTGAGCTACCGCGCATTCCCACCTTTATGGTGGACGTGGTGACGTCAATAGCAGCCAAAGAATTCACACCTCTTTTGTTCTCCCGGCAGAGATACACCCCCCGCAGTGCAGCATATCTGAGTTGTCCCACTCTGCAGGCTGGATCTGAACACTTACGTTTTCACCCCCCTGGAACACAGTCTTCGTATGAACGCTTGGTACGCTCCACAATAATATCCCTATATTATTGTGGAGCATTCCAGGCAAAGTGACATCCACCAAACCTCCAAGTTGTGGAATACACATACCCCCCTTTTGCCTGCTAATCTGTGCCACTCCCACTATCACACCAGCATCACACATGGTTTGACCCTACTTAGGCTGAGTTTACACGGAGACAATGTGGCAGTAAAACAAAATAGTTGGATGTCGGTTGCTACCAAGACAAGGCAGGTTTTTTTGTATAGCACAGTTTATACACAACTCAAAGTGCTGAACCAAACAAGATAAAAACGGTTCTTTAAAAAGGATGAAGATTCAATCCTTCAGTTGTTGCAGATAAAGATGAACGTTTTTAACCTGGATTTGAACATTAGAAGGCTCTCTCACATTTTCAAGAAGACTCTTCCAAGATCCAGCTGTATGAATCTGAAAGCATATGCTGATGACTAGGTGTGTGGTCAGAGAGAGTTTTGGCCTGTGTCTTGTCATGTGTGTGTTGTGCTTGTGTCGTGTGTCTTAATGTATTGGTTTTTTGTGTGTGTTTTGTTTATAGTTTACAGAATGTTTTAAATTAAATTAATCCTACGTAATAGTAATGCATCACTTTTATACAGCGCCTTATTTGGACGCTCAAAGACACTCCATACACCGTGGAGATAAAAAAGTATTGTGCACACACACACACCAGACTCATTCTAATGTGGGTGAAGTGTCTTGCCTAAGGACACAGCTACAGTTTGGCACTTCACAGCCGCAGCCGCCGCACTGTTGCACCTGGTGTTCCCACAGGTCTCCCATCACTGCACTAACCAGGCCATGTCCTGCTTAGCTTCAGAGGTCTGACAGGATCTCGCTCTCACCTGCAGGTACGGCCCTCACTTTATTATTTTCTTAAAACAAAAAAAATCACAGAAATTAGAAAAGTTAGCTTTAGCTTTTTAGCCTGTTCCTTATCCCCATATCTTTAATCAGAGTAGAGTCACATTCTGCTGGTGACAGTGGGGGAGGAGTGGGAGGAGCGGGAGGAGGGGGGAGGTGGTGGTCAGGACAGGCCTTTAGGCTCTGGCTCGCTGTGTGAATCTGGCTCATGTTTGACTTGTGACCCGGCTGGGAGGACGTGTTGTTTAAGTCCACATCACTCGGCTTGACACGTGCCGTCAAAAGAAATGAATTTGAGAAAAATAAGAATCTCTGTTTGTTTGGTTTAGCGGCGGCTTTCTCCACACGACTTTGGAGGAAGTCGCCGTAAAGTAGCAGCACTTATCGCTGAGACGATGTCAAGGGCAGGGTTTACACGCAGAGGCCACGGAAAGTCTGCTTTGGGGTAAGACTTAGCTCTCCGGGACTTCCCCTGATTTAATATTTGGAGAAAAACGGATCAGAAAGCCTTAGTATTCAGCCATAACAATAACTCTCGAAGTTTGGGGTAGACGCTGGTGGATTAAGAGCCATTAAGTTAGTTACAATTTTAATATTTAAATTATGAAATATTATCACATATTTAACACAATACTTCTTTAACTGATAACAGTAGTTCAGAGATATTTGGATTTCAAATTGAGTTTTACAGTCCATAAATCTTTTTTTCATTTCAATGTCCCGCCGTTTCACCAATCAGGAAGTCCATGATCCGGGCGCCAGAAATCACCGTGTGGAGCTAATCTGACTGGTAAAGTACCATGTGGCGCAGAACTAAAAAAGGTCTCGTTCTGATTCTCAAATCATTAACGACAAGGAATAAAACCAGGATTTCTATCTTTGTGAAAAAGGTGTTGGTTATAGATTTGGTGTTGACAAAATTCTTGTCTATTCAGCTGTTATGGTCCCAGCTGGATTCGTCTGCATATCTGGCAACCTGAGTCAGGGAGAGTGGGAGAGGCTGCAGTACCACTTTTGGCCACATTTTTACACACTGTCCCTTTAATATGTAATCAACATTATTCCAGCCATGTTTTTTGGGGGATCCATGACTGAAATATTAGAGTTCCTTCGGTCTAAACTCTCCAGAGCACAAAACGTAACGGTTTGAGTGGAAGAAGGAGCGTCTGAGGCCATGTGGACGATGTCATCATTTGTAATCATATAGTTTTCCTGTATACAGCGCTTTGGGGAATGAGACAAATGGTGGTTTTCAAAACAGCTCAGTGACATCACTCCGGGGCCTCACAGAGCTGCTCCAGGATCAGCTCAGAGCGGGAGATCTGTGTTCTGTGGACGGGATTGTAAAATACTGTGGTCCTTGTCATTGTTTAGGTCATCACCATCGCCCAGTGTTAATGTGAGGCATATGAGATGAGATTCTGGATGTTAATACTCCAATAATCCACATTTATAAGAGAGTTGTTATGAAAGAATATTTGGAGTCGTCTTTCGAGGCTTGGTTGTATAAATATTGACGATTGAGAATTTTTCAATCAATCAATCTTTATTTGTAGAGCGCTTTTCTTACACAGGGCAACGCAAAATGCTTCACAGTCCATCCATCCATTTTCTACCACTTGATTCATTTCTGGGTCGGGGGGTGTCTACATTCAGTGATACCACCCAAGTCACAGAGCACCAGCCCCTCACTGATCCTCTGCAGGTGGTGAGTCCACAGGAGGATGGCTGCTCTGTCGGTGAGAGCATAGCCTTGGTCTTTCAGTGGGGGGCTTTAGGCAAAGTGGGGTTAAGTGTCTTGCCCAGGGACACAACGACAGCAGTCATCAGTGGGAGTCGGTGAAGAAGGTTTCGTGGCGGGATTGAACCCACGACCTTCAGGCTCAAAGGCCAATGCTCTACCAACTGAGCCACCGTCGCCCCAGTCCACACCATCCAAGGCAAAAATAATTATTTAAAAAAATAAATACACAAAGTCACCATTGAAAACATTGAAATTGAAAAATAATATAAAGCCATGACTATACTGCTCTAAAAGTAGCAGAGTGGAATAAAGAAATAATCGAACTAGTCAAACTTGTGGGGCGCAGTACAATAAATATCAACAAATACAATAAAATACATAGTGAATAGTTGACACAAGTGAAATATTGTGCATTATTTTTGGCCTTTAAAAATTATAATAAGACATTTTACTTTGTCATTTGATTAATATTATTTGAAAGGTAAAGAATTGTCTTCTGCCTGTAACTCCCAGTGCTACCACCAGAGGGAGGAGGTGATTTTGTTCGGTAGAAAACTTTCCTTGCATTTGACCCATCCTTTGACCCACCAGAGCCACAAGATCCTCTGTCCGGGCACCATACTACAGCGCCCAAGGATCCA